CGCCGGGCATGCATTTGGGAACGAATAGTGCCGTCGAAAAGCGGAAAAGGCAGCGTTTCAGAGGATGCATGCGTCACATAACGGGTAAGTACAGAGAAACCGTCATCAAAGCACCCGATCCACTGAGAGCAGATCTGGCCAGACGCTACAGCAGGGCGCTTGTTCTGCCGAGAGATGAGCTGGCGGAGACACTGCACCGGGGCGCCTGTCGCGACACCTGAGCTGGCGGAGGCACTGCACCGGAGCGCCTGTCGCGACACCTGAGCTGGCGGAGACGCTGCACCGGGGCGCCTGTCGCGACACCTGAGCTGGCGGAGACACTGCACCGGAACGCCTGTCGCGACACCTGAGCTGGCGGAGACACTGCACCAGGGCGCCTGTCGCGACACCTGAGCTGGCGGAGACACTGCACCGGAGCGCCTGTCGCGACACCTGAGCTGGCGGAGACACTGCACCGGGGCGCCTGTCCTGCCGACACCTGAGCTGGCGGAGACACTGCACCGGAGCGCCTGTCGCGACACCTGAGCTGGCGGAGACACTGCACCAGGGCGCCTGTCGCGACACCTGAGCTGGCGGAGACACTGCACCGGGGCGCCTGTCGCGACACCTGAGCTGGCGGAGACACTGCACCGGGGCGCCTGTCGCGACACCTGAGCTGGCGGAGACACTGCACCGGAACGCCTGTCGCGACACCTGAGCTGGCGGAGACACTGCACCGGAGCGCCTGTCGCGACACCTGAGCTGGCGGAGACACTGCACCGGGGCGCCTGTCCTGCCGACACCTGAGCTGGCGGAGACACTGCACCGGAGCGCCTGTCGCGACACCTGAGCTGGCGGAGACACTGCACCGGAGCGCCTGTCGCGACACCTGAGCTGGCGGAGACACTGCACCGGGGCGCCTGTCCTGCCGACACCTGAGCTGGCGGAGACACTGCACCGGAGCGCCTGTCGCGACACCTGAGCTGGCGGAGACACTGCACCGGGGCGCCTGTCGCGACACCTGAGCTGGCGGAGACACTGCACCGGGGCGCCTGTCCTGCCGACACCTGACCTGGCGGAGGCACTGCACCGGGGCGCCTGTCCTGCCGACACCTGAGCTGGCGGAGACACTGCACCGGGGCGCCTGTCCCACCGAGAGCAGTTCAGCCGCCCGGCAGCTGCACCCCTGCCCCTAGTCCCTGCCACTCACAAACACCGTCTCGCGGGGACGTACGCAGCAGACACGTCATCACTTGCCGGTCAGAAACTGCTGACCCCGCGTGACCGTCGCAAGAATCGTCAACCTTACGGCGGAAGTGCGGAGCCGGCTTCTGCGCGTCTGCGCGTGACGACAGGCACGTGGTCAGACCGCGTCCGCTGTAACTGACCACAGACGCCGACGGAAGACGCTGTGGTCGTCACACCGTCGCTAATGAGCGCTGTATGTGATCGGCGTCCAATATGCGGTCGGTGTTGCCGCTGGCGTGTCTATGCGCGTGCCCAAAAAGATCCATCCGACGCTCATAACCGCCTCTCTTGTTGCCGCTCGGCCGGGCCGGCTCAGCCGGCTGCCGTTGGGGTGCAAAGGTACCCTACGCAGAGGCGGACGCAGTCTCCACGTCGACGCAGCCGCAAGGGTGGGCTGACGAGCGATGCGAGATGGACAGACATATTTTGGTGTCAGAGCCGGTAAGGTGTCAAGCCAGAGCATGTCTGACGAGAAAATATACAGCGCAGTGGAAGGAACAATCTGAGTCTTGCCACTCTAACCAGCTGCTTCCCAGGGTAACGCAACCTAGTCACGAACAGTTCCTTATTGCGCACAAACGCAATGCAAATGTTCAAAGCCACCATGCGCTTTTTCAATCGCCAACTGGGCACCCCATGACGAGGAGCGTCCTTTTGCCAGCACATGAGGTCACCCTCACGAACATAAACATGGATCTCCGTAGGACGGAATGGCGGCGACATCTGAACCTCGTCTCAGCGTTGCACTTGGAGAAATGTCCGACACAGTTTACGTGACTTTTGAAATTAATGCACTGTCAACAGCAACAGCGTGACGCTTCACATCACGCTCGTCACGCATGTCACGTGACTAGCGTGACGGCAGATCGATCCTCCTTTTTTTATCGGCGACGAGATCCAGCAGCGAAGCAACGTTACCGGACAACTCGGGCAGCTCGAGAACAGGATTTTGAGAACGCGTCCTCTCAAGACGCGCACGTCGCCCGCGTCTAGCTCACGTCTTGAGAACGGCGTGAAGCCGGCGCCTCTGCCGTGAACGGATCGTGCATTACGTTGTGCACACTTCCGCCTGCGGCCTGCGCCGAACCCGGCTCTTGGAAGGGGAGGAACCGGGGGCCAGTTCTGAAGGACGATCACCCGGCGGTCCGACGGAAGATCGGGGCAAAACAAGGGGTGAACTTCACGGCTAAGGAGACTGATCTTTCAGAAACAGACTGACATCACGCAGGCCTCCCAGCGTGACTTGTGCTGCCCGCGTGAGGTAGTAACACGCCTCTCAACAAAGCAACAAGCCTAATGACATGAAGCGGTGCACATTAGATGAACATAGCAAGCAGAATTCTCACATCGTGAAAAAAGCAGAAGACCGCACGCCAAGAAGAGGTCCAGGTCTCGCAGAGATGGAACTAACTGATACTGTCTGAGGAGCAACAGGCTATCGTTCCGGCAAAAGTGCGGTTCAATGTGTGCAGACTGATACGTCATTTCGCGTTGTTTGTGCAAACCAGAGAAGTCCGGTTTTTGCACGTTTTGAGGAGTTGTGTCAAAGCGGCAGCCAGGGTGGGAAGGGACGTGGAATCAGTCCTGTGATGTAAGAGAGCGTACTGACTGCAGACCAAAAAGTGATCTCAGAAATGTCTGGGCCATGGCCACATTTGGATCACCCCGGGCAGCCACCCAATCTCACCTTTCTGAGGCCGACGTCAGGCATAGCACGCTGTGACTCAGATCGAAACGACTCTGTTCAGGTGTTGACAAAGTGTCAAAGGTGTGTCGACAAGTGTCAAGTGTCAAGTGTCAAAGTGACAAGTGTCACAAGTGACACAAGTGACAAGTGTCAAGTGTCAAGTGTCAAAGTGACAAGTGACAAGTGTCACAAGTGACACAAGTGACAAGTGACAAGTGACAAGTGACACAAGTGACAAGTGTCAAAGGTGTGTCGACGGCAATGGTCATTTGCGGCTCGAAAGCAGCTCGGGCAAACGCACGCCAGAGCGGCGCCTTGAAACTGCTAGAGGCCATGGCAATTTCGCAGGTTCGTAATTTAGATATTACGATCAACATCCACCCAAAATACCTCCGTTGTCAATATTTCACCAGTCACACATATGGCTTCATTCAATCGTCGATCAAAATTGACAAGATCTCGCAGGCCCGAAGTCGGCCAAGATTTCAGCCATACGTGTCCAGCATGCGGACTATGAACATTGCAAGCTCTGTGCGTCAAGTTCAGAGCATGCTGCATGAGTGCGCTCACTCGGTTCCAGTGCACCGATAATGCGTACCAATAGGAGTTCCCAAATATGGCAAGCCACGTTCATCAATGTTTAAACATGATCTACGTGATGATAATGGCCTCAGTGGTCTCCTCGCTTCTCCTATGTCGCAAAAGATGTGTTGCTGGTGCCGTCATTGAACTGACACCCTAACGCACCACAACACGGCCAGCATACTCAAAACACCAAAAAGCGAGGCGATTTATCCTGATGGGGTTTACGTAGCACAGTTTATGAGCGGTGAACTATGACTGAGCACGTCTGGTGCGCGGCTTCACACTCGAAGCCTTCTACTCTCTTCAGATGGCAGACGCGGTCTTCCCGCGGCGTACAGATGGCAGACGCGATCTTCCCGCGGCGTCCAGATGACAGACGCGATCTTCCCGCGGCGTACAAATCACAGGCGCGATCTTTCCGCGGCGCGCAGGGGGCAGACGCGATCTTCTCGCGGCGTCCAGATGACAGACGCGATCTTCTCGCAGTGTACATACCTCAGCTTTTTGAACCATGACAAGAAAGTAAACATTGGTAACCCCGTGAATTCCGTGTGGGTCGGACGGACTGTGCCTAAGAGGAGTGGAATTTTAGTGTTACACGGAGTGCGACCGACTGATAACAGCACCTATCTCCGATTCGTTTCTGTGCCAACCGCAACGTAGCCGAGCTTGAGCGACTTGGAAGCCGGACGAGTTACACTTTATTCCACAAACCGGCGAAAGCTCTAGTGTCAGTTGAACTTCGCATGCTGAAAAAATGATGGAGCCGGAGGTGGACGACTGTGCGGCGATTCCAAAGATCGAGTTTTTCGACTCAGTTCTGCTGCTCACGAGTGATCGACTCGTCAAACCGACGCATCCGACGACACCGTAACTAAAACAACAATTCTCAAGGAGCTGGCACCGCTATTTCTTGGCTTTAGTCCGCATGGCCATTTTCTTAAGGACAAAGGAATATGTCCACCACTCAATCGGAGTTTACAAGAATGATGGTGTTTAAAACGACGTCATTTAAAACGGAGCGGGACTGTGGTAATAAAATGCATCGATCGATTCAACAACTTCCTGCTTATGTAACACCTGCTAATTTTCCACAAAGGTCAAAGTTCAGTCGTGAGTTCCGTTTCAGCAGAGCTTTGCAGGTGTTTATACTATTTTCCCTCCTCGCTGCGTCGGTGGCTTAGTTACACATATTCGTTAAATAAAGTAAGGAACAGGATCAATAACAGAAGACGCTTTGTAGACTGAATGGACCAGGCTGTGAAAAGAGCATCGCAATCGCATCGCAACGAACAACATGACCAACGACATTAAGGAAGACATCGCAAAAGACTAACAGTGATGAGACGAACCACCTGGAGAACAAGGAATGGCATATCATATGAGATGACCATCAACGAAGGGACGACACAGGGAACACTATCACGAAAGACACGACGACCAAGAAGACCTCACAGACTCAGACCGAGACTAGCGGGACTCGGATGACTCGGGTACTCACCGAACAGCAGGTCCTCGAGCTTCTTCTTGTCGACCTTGACTCGCTCCACCTTTTCCAGCTCTCCAAGGTCAAGGTCACCGGAATACTGAGAGTCCACTGAAGGCGCATCCTGAAAGACGCATTCAATTCAACAATTCAATTTCCAATGGTTCTCGTACCAGACAGCGAAGCAAAGTTGGTAGGTACCGGAATTGCCCGTAGAGAACCGCAAAATAGCGATGTCAGAGAGCTACTCGCTTGAGCCTCTTGCATTTTGCTGTTTTTTCACCTTAAAGTTAAAACCGACGAACCACTTCATCACCATACGATACCAATACGACAAGCCTGAGTGGCACACCGCCCATCGAAAAAGCTTTTCGAGTGGGCGGCTGCTGTAAAAACAACAGTCATATTCATAATCAGTGAAATGGGAATTCCAACCCCCTGTGTCGGAATGCGACGTCCGCAGTGACGTCACTTGAGGCCTCGTTAGACCACAACTCTACGGAGTTATGCTCTCATTGGAGTGACTTTGTTATGCAGACTTCAGTGGCGTTTTCTGCGGGGCGGGGGAGCTGCAGCGATCTCAAACCGTCCGAGCGAATCTTTTGCGCCAGTGATGTCACGTAGTCTTGGAACAACACTTACGAAATACATCATTGCCATCGGAGGACAACGGGTCGGCGGCAAGAGGCAAAGCCGCGAAACAAGACACCGACACACAACTTCAGGAGGAGCGCGATGCGCCGAGCTATTCTTCTTGAGCCAGAAGTCCCGAATGGACCACCTAATACCTAGTCGAGGACAAGTAAACACTTGAACTGCCTCGGCTTGCGTAACGCAGTTACATCTTCGTTCAGGAGAGCAATTTTGCGCTAACCGCTTTCCTACAGCGGGTGTTGGAGAGAAGACGTCGTCACTGCTTGGCATCAAATACCTATGATTCTCCCACGCGTATTTATGGGGATCTTGCACGCCACTATTGCAACATATGGCAGATTAGCACAAAAAAAGTTAAAGTTCGTACAACAAATGCCAACGTTAAAGGGAGTGCGCCACCTTTGAGACATGCTTCAAAAACATACTCTGGTGAAACTGGAGGACCAGTTATATCTATTGATAGCATTGTGTGATGTCACTGCAGCACCTACGAGACGTGATCAGCAAACGAATTTTGATTACTTTTGAGTCGAAATCACGCAGACAACGCTTCGTCATAAGATTACGGCTCTTCCTTTCTTTGTAGCCCCAAAGTTCATTTCCGGCTCATGTAAGACACTTCAGCGCAATAATCATTGTCACCTCCGCGTCTGAACACGAGAATTTCAAACTGATCTCATCCAAATTAGCAGGGATGCAGTCTCCACGGGTCTGCAATACGCGGACAAAAAGAGTCTAAAAGTGGTACCTCTAGCTCATGACAGCCAACAACGGTGTCATTTTCTGCGAACCATAGTCAGCTGTTACAGACAAGGTGTACCTACTTCGAGCTCTTTTAACTCACACATTGGGGGCCTGCGGGCTAAAAAGTGGCACCTCCACTGGCGTGAATGATGCCAGAAGACACGACAGTTCACAATTGGCACAATGGGCAGCACAAGCCATTTACCAAGAAGTACATGGGTAGAGATTTCAACGACTATGTCACCAGACAATGCATTATGTTTGCTTCCAAACGTCAAGGTGCGCTTAGAAAAGAGTCCACGTGCAAAGCGGCATTTGGGAGAAATAAAGTCCACAATGTGACGCTTCACTGAATCCGCCAGATGATGGCAGCTTAGTGACTTGAGAAAACACCGCCAAGCAGGCTGGCGACCAGAGCTACTACATTCGTCCTTGAAACAATGTGGGGAAAACTTTTTCTGAACGCTAATTATTCGTGGTCTCTCTTTAAATGGAATGCTTAACATTTGAAGACACTGAAGCAAACATCAGATATGATGGAACAAGCTCATGTATACCTATTGGTAGACTTTTTAAATGGAGAAGACTGCTCCAGAAAGCGCAATTATCTGTTTAGTAAATATGCTCCCCAACGCGTCATGGTTTGATCAAGTCATCGTGCCTTGCATAGCATTGACAGAGAGCCAATTGACGCCTGTTATGTCTGAAAATTGTGCCCATAAACGTCAGATAAGAACGAACCGAGCATTATGTATTTCTCGGCTTTGATCGCCGCAAAGCTTATGTAATGGCAGAATTTGGATGACGCCATGACGCCATGAATGCCGAGGTGGCCTGAAATACTCTCCCCGAAAAGTCTTTACATTTTCGCGAGCATATGGCTCAGAAACTAGGAGGGTTTAGCTTTAAAGAAGGGCAGGGCTGTGAACTGCACTGAAAGGTCTTCAAAATGATCCTTTCGATCCAAAATCTCACAAATGTGGAACCCACCCTTTTAGCGACGCGTATGCCGATATGGAACATCAACCCCTAAGCATGGCGAGTCCAAATTCTTACAAAATGCTGAGGTGAGAGACTTGTGAGTGTTGTGGGACCCTGCGTGGTTTCATTGCTTCAGAAAAGTGAAGGTTGAGCGCCTATGTGGTACGGAACACTGCACAGGCGCTGACAGCGGGCACAGGTGTCAAGTGCCCCTCGCCCCTTAGGTCCAAACAGACCCGAAGAGACCGACGGGCTTGTCGAATGTCGTATTAAGGGGCTATAGAACGCAGGACCGGGCCCTCAAATGCCATTCAGAGGGCCTCATGCGCTGATAGGAGGCCTCTGGCGCACCCCTATGTAGAAACCACTAACACCGAACAGGTGGCTCCGCAACGGTCTGAGCTCTGGGCACCATTTCCTAAGCAGGAAACAGGGCCGAGGCCCACAATTTACATCGGTCGGGTCACCTGAAACAATGTGGGCACCTATGCCGGTCAGGCACCGAGAGTGCCTAACAGGGCGTTCTGTGTTGGCAAGGGACCCGCAGTCGGTCAGGGGGAGCTCTCTGAATAGGGACAGGGACGGAACCCCGAATGTCGGCAACGCTTCCATTAATACGGGCCTGGGTGGACGGTTGAACACCCTTCGCTCGGGTGAGGATGGTGATGGGGGAGCAAGCTGATTTCCTGAGATCTCGGAAATTAAGATAACCAACCACCAAATTCACAGCGTTGGTTGACCTACATTTGAACTCACTCGTGCCAAACGAGCAAACAAGGTCAAAATGCGGATTAGTGTCCTAGGTGCCCAAGACCAAATGCAACCACCTAGGTACCTGTTCTAAGCAAAAGTTGAATGGTGTTTATTTAAGACCAGTGACCTTTTAGACATTTATAAAGTTAAGGTGGGAAAAACCTAATTGCTGCTATTTTGCCATCCAACTCAGCGTCAGAAATTACGCTAGGCAGTATGTTCCTCAAAACAGTCATCTTAGGTCAGTGACCTCTGACATTTAACAAATCTATGGAAGAGTCTGTTGCAGTCTCTGTAGTTAATTGATTCGAAGTGAGCGCCAGATATTATACATTCAAACAAGCTCTGGAGTAAAACAAACCGGTTAGTTTTGACCGCGATCTATCAGATTGAACGAATCTCTAGAAATGACCTTCGCCGAGAGCCACGGCCTCCCTTTGTTAACCTTTGGTAGATCAATCTAATTTTTGCACCAAAAGATTCGCTATTCAATTGCGTACGACTATGAAAAGTTTGGCGCAACCACGCCGTGCCTCCGAAAATCTGTGGAAGGACCTTCGGAGGGGCGAGGTCAAATTGCCCCGAGCGCGTGTTGGGGCACTTAAGACACATTGGGCACTGCCCAACCTAAATCTCAGAGCCTAGCTCAGCACCTTTCTAAAAGCATGCGATGACGCACGATGGCATCAAAACTTAGGTTGTTCCGTCATATTTCAACGCATTTTAAAGCGCCAACTTATTTGGATCTAAGCTGCCTGCTAATCCGTCGAATTTGTCATTAACTCTTCGATGATAGCCCGTATATCTGGTAGTGCTAATTGAAACCATTTTACCTTGATTTACCCCATTAGAAACAGGACCGGCCGAAGCAGCGAAAGCTTAGGCATCAAGGCATGCCTGACCCAGCCTAAGCCATAGTTTTGAGCTAAGCGTCTTGGTCTGGACCAATGTTTCGCAAAATTGTGGCCAGATATAGACGTTTTAAATCTAGCTATTCGGTATCAACACCTGCACTTGAAACTGACGCATGCCAGTGTTTATAGCGTTGATACCGAGCGGGCACTGCAGGTAATTGATAGATATGAACGTCAGTGGGGAGCTCAATTAGCTTGAGAGCACGTGAAAAGAACAGCATGCTTCGGTCATAGCTATACATGGATCTTTAGACCATGTTTCAGTGCCAGGCCCTGGAGGCCCTGAGGCCCTGGAGCACTCTGCCAGGCCCTGGAGGGCTCCAGGGTCTGGCACGTGTCGCCACTGCCTCCGACAGTGGAATGAGATCTGAGAACTTAGGATTAGAGTTTACAATGGTGCCATGCGTGGGTCCCATGTCCGTCAGGGCCCTGCACGGAGTGGGACCCACGGGAGTGGGACTGCACGGACCCACCCCACTTCGGCGATGGGCGAGGGGCTCGATAAACCGAACTGGGGTCCCCGTGCCAGTTGGCAAGCCCCTGCAGCGCAATGGATACTTTTGAGTCACAGAGGGCCCCACATCGAAACGTGCCCAACTGCCCCGGCCAGAGGGCCTCCCGCGTCAGGCAGCGGACGGATGCATATTGTGCCCCAGTGAAGGCCTCCCTGTCGACCAGAGGGTCCCAGCCTCCGTACCGCCGTCACTGTGGCAGACGGTAGGTCCCCTGGGCTGGGGTGGGGGAGCCCTTCAAACCCTGACCGGCAAACAAAGTTCCCTCCCCCCGTACTGTATCCACAGAGCCCCCTGCCCTGGAAAGGTAAAGGGTAAAGGTAAAGGTCAGTGTTTCAAGAATGGGTCGCCACGGGGTCAACATGATGTGTTGACAGGGCCAGCACATGCCAACCTGGAGACGGCCATTCCGACTCGACAGGCAAAAAACCTGTATAGAATAGTTTGCTGCATGCGCGCTCGCAATCCTGAGGTGCAAGAACACCTACACCCAGCGTTGCAGTTTTCGTCGAACTAGACGGCGCTGGTCGCTAGGCAGTGTGCTCCGGGAGCGCGAGGGTGCGCGAGAGCGACCGTGTGGTGTGAAATGCGAGGCCGTGGGACCGCGTGTTCAAGGTCGTGAGACCTTGTGTGCGGGACCGTGAGACCGTGTGTGTGAGACCGTGAGACCGTGTGTGCGAGACCGTGAGACCGTGTGTGCGAGACCGTGAGACCTTGTGTGTGAGACCGCGAGACCGTGTGTGTGAGACCGCGAGACCGCGTGTGTGAAATGATGCTTCCGAAAGTAATTGTTTCCGTTGTAAGGTTTGTCATCATGTCGGGAGTTTGCGGTGCGTGCCATGTAAACGCTAGTTTGCTGAGGACCAGCATACCCTCAGGCATGGATTAATCTCACAAAGCGTGTAAATGTACTACTTTCCATTTGTGGCCGTTTCTGTCCGTCCGTTGGCCGCCACTCGATGTCAGCCATTGAACCGAGGCCGCACTGCCCGTGGAGACTATAACGCTGGGCGTCGATGTTTTGGCTTCCAGAGTTGCAAACGCGCGGCGCGAGGCCAAAACAATGTTTACGTACGCCATTTTTCTCTGAAGCTCTGAAGAAAGGTTCAATATCCTAAAGCAAACATGGCATGACCATATAAAAATAAATGTTTGACCAGATTTTGATGTGCGGCCTACATACAATCAGGCCATGAGCCCCAATGCCTCCAGAAGCCCGAAAAAAATTATAAAGCTGTAACGGAGGTGTAGAGCATGGAAGTAGTGCCGCAAGCTTTATATTTGATACGGTCATTTAATACCTGATTTTTGAATGCTGTTGACCCCGCGATACAGGCAAACTTGCATTTTTTTGCTAGTGCCTGCATCCTATTTCAACTAAAAAAGTGAACAAGGAAAAGAAATTAATTGAACTTCATGGAAATGAACTGAGCCATATCCGATGATTTCTTTTAGGGAGGCCTCCACCAGCAGGGGACTTTTCGTCACCCTTGTGCCCCCTTCCCCCTAGCCCAACAAGGGTCTGTCTGCGCCCCTGGTTCTTGTTTGTTTTTTTGTTATTACAAAATTTTGAGGTGTGAGACCCTGAGTTCGCTGACGTCATTTGACCTTCAGTTTGTCCACTGATCACAATACTTCTTCCAATCCTTGGCTTCAACGCGGGCTGATACGTGACCAAGACACAAACTGCAACTTTTCTTCACAATCTCCAGCTTTCCAACTAAGTGCATTCCCAATTTCTGTACATTGCCATCCATGATTCACAACCCCTTTATGATTGGCGGCTAATACCGGCTGCACACCAATTAAGCGATTATTGCCACTTGCTCATCAATCAGGCAGTTCATGTAGCCAGCTGCGTATTCCCACCAATCACGCACGCTAAACAGCGACACGGGGTGGTGACCAATGCCAAGGTAACGACACAGGGCGGTGACCAATGTCAAGGTAGTGACACGTGGTGGTGACCGATGTCAGGGTAGTGACACGGGGTGGTGAGCAGTGTCAAGGTGGGGCGGCACAACTTAAATCACATGCGCATCCATGCATTAGTTTTACTGTTTGCAAGCTTAAAGGATATGGACATTGTTAATCAATAAACATCTACGGGCAGACTCAGCATTATAAACAGGCGCTTTTTTCGCAGTCACGCAAACATAGATACTCAACGGTAGCACCAAAAAATATAAGATATCTGAATAGCTTATCACCATGAGCCACGCCTAAACATTGCAACATATTTTGATATTCATGATGAATTTCACGTGCCAAAACATCGTGCGGTGATATTTTGTAACTTAGTCGGCGTTCAAAAATGCGTGCCATTAACGTGGCTGTCGAGCGCGCTATTCCCGTGGAAATGTCACGGGCCAAGTTTAGTTGGCCACTCCTCGCCCGCGACATTCCAGACAGCCGCTGACGGCCTTTATGACGGCATTGGACGTTCATAATGCACCCGCCGTCCGTGCCGACATGGCGAGAGGCTTGGCGGCGCCTGTAAGCGATCCACAGCCAGGTCAGACGGCCGATGCCGCGGGCTGGCCTTCGCGAAAGGCTCGGGTTAGCGCGAATGCTGCCATACAGCATGCTCGGTTAGCGCAGATGCTGCCCTACACCATGCTCGGTTAGCGCGAATGCTGCCCTACACCATGCTCGGTTAGCGCAGATGCTGCCCTACACCATGCTCGGTTAGTGCATATACTGCCCTTCAATATGCGTCGCGACCAGAAGTACTTGCACTTTTACTTGTTCGAGTGCAATATTATGACGCGACATTTTTAGAGATCTGAGGGATCTAGAGATTTTTAGAGATTTAGGGGAGCTGACAACTGCGGGGGGAAGAAACTACTATTCAGGATTACCATATATTTTTACGAATATATAAATTAGGCATTGCTAAAGAATACCTTTGAACTGCATACTTTTTAAAGGACACGTCAGTAGCAGATTTTATAGGCAATAGCTCATTCGTGCAGGAGCAATTATCCAAAACTACGCTAAACGTCATAAGTATTCAGTTAGTTGAAAAGGCGCCCACCAGGCGAAGGGCCTGTCTAGACGGATGGAAGACCCCAGCTTGCACGGACGCGGTTTTTCTTATGCTATTACTCTCCATTTCTTCTGTTGTTATCTATGTCCCCTGTTTATTAACCATGCCCCGTATCATTATTGATCAAGACGAAGTTTCCAAGCGCTCATATCGTGCTCCTGATTCTTCAGTGATTGGAACGCTGACGCTATCTTGTAGGTGCTAAATACCCAGTCTGAGTACAAATCTCAACAAAGACTAGCCGACGGGCAACCAGATCACCGTGCAGGAAACATTCATGAGCACTGCTGACTGGGCAATGAACAATGAACTACATGAATGAACAAATAAACAACTAGTTAAAAATGGGCAAAATGGCCGCCACCCACTGTGCAACAATCATGAAGTACATCGGCGTTGCCGTTTACTATGATCGGCAAAAATTGCGTTAATTAATATTATTTCTGATATCCTATGCCGTGACCACCTCGTTCACGAAGCAAAAGGATCGACTATGGAAAGGGCTAAAAAACAACAGCGATGTTTCCATTCACAACAGCAAGAGAGGTTTCCTCTTTGCACTCGCAAACTGAAAGCAGTGTACATTAATAATGCCCGGGGCTGTTTTAATGCACGCGCACTCACGAAGTGGTTGCTTCGCGACAGCAGCGCGACACGTACGCTGAACATGCCGAGCCCCCCCCCCCCCCCCCCCCCACTCCCGTCACGTCACTCTAGTGCACTTGAGCACCTCAGCCATGTTACAACGATGTCTAAAGACTAGCGCAGAAGCATGGAAAAGGATCCAAGTCGTTTGGATCTGATTTTGCCCGCGCGCTCTGCACTACATTCAGGTCAGAAAAGGCACCTAACCGGGCTCATCATTCAGCACGAACTGGCTCATCACCCATCGATTGTCCACAGCCAGCAGTTCGATGGTTTCTTCTCTGGTTTATATTCAGCGTCGCACTTTGTCCTCGCTCGCAACGATAATTCCGCCTAGAAATTGCGTAAATTATTGAGTGCATCTGCGAAGAGCACTATTCACATAGATAACACAGCAGTAATAGCCTCATTTTTTGGCGAAAAAAACAGGAGAATGGAGACATAGCCACAGGCTGCTCCATCTCCATCTATGTCTCCATTCTCCTGGTTTGGTTCCAGAGAACGACGCTATTACTCTTACTCTTGTCTTAAAACTGTTAAGATGCAAAGCACGGTGCGCTGGCTCACGTGGTGTTCTATGCAGAGAGCAGTGCAGCCCAGCTGTCCGTCACTGACCTGGCTCATGGCGCCGTCGGTGCTGATCTCGGATAGGCGGTCCTCCTGACCTGGGTCGACCCCGCTTTGACCCGACCCGGGCCGGGGCCCCTCCTCCAGCCTCATCTCCGCGCGCTGGGACAGCGATTCAAACACCACCAGCCGGACGACGCAAAAACACAAGCATACACCACTGCACACACCACGTCAGGTGAGCAGAGGTCACATACTGCTGCTGCGCCGCGGCCGCGGGGCAAGGTCAGCTCGGTGACGTCACAGGTTGCTCCGCGACCGGCGGCCAATAGACGGCGGCGTTCGATACCGCTCGGCACGCCGGCTGGAAGCGTGCGCTCCGAGACGATTGCGTGTGTGGCGTGCCGACGACCGGCAGAGCGCACAGCGCGAAGGGGCGCGCGGCTTGAAGAAGCAGAGAGTCCCGGGTGCTGCTGGTGCTGCTGGCGCTGCGGCTGGCGGCGTCGGGTTCTCCTTAGCACAGTGTGACAACCGAGTTCTAGCTATGGCCTGCAGTCCTTCTTACCTCAGATGCACTGCTTACATTGCCCTGACGTCACACAGTTGGCAGCGTCTGTCAACCGCGCCCTTGTGCCGCTGACAGGCGCCCACTCTGCTCATCGTACGCTGTCTCCGAGACACTGGTGAAGCGGCAGGACTTCCTGGCCAGTCTACCTCGACAGACGGGCAGGTGTGCTAATCGGTCAATGTAGAAGCTAAACGGAAGATTGGGTTCGAATTTGAAGGGTGATGACGGCCGTGTGCTCTGAACAAAGTAGTTCACTCGGATATCAATGCCTGGAGGTGTTGTTTAGGAGGCCAGCGTATTTAGCAGGGCCACTGGCAGTGTGCGCGGTGTCGGCATGCTGTATTTCGAGGGTTAGTCGGCGCAGAGGGTGTTTCCAGACGAAGCAAGAGAACATCCAACCGGAGGCGAGACTCCGCAGCGTTCGTGGTGTTGGCGAACACTGCTTAAAAAAACAAGCGTTCGCTGTTCCTGACACTTCTTGGGAACGTTTTCATTGATTGCGGTGAAGCGTGGGTTTGGAGAGCAATGCAAACATGGAGAGGGAGGAATGCCACCCCAAAAGGCGCAAAGCTCCGCTTGTTTTCCCAGCACAGGCTCTGCGCGAACATCAGGCAAGCATCCCACCGTGCTAGACTCGAACACTCGCATCAGCAGGGTGTCAAGAGAGCGAACTAAAATACGCATTCTGTGAACCATGTGTACTACCAAAAACTTTTAACAAGTAACATAAAAGCCACGCCAGTTTATTGCATCGCTTATCCGCTCAGCTGTTATGATTTGTATGTTGTGGTGAGAGCACCCATGACTTTTTGTTTTGAGAGTGGTACGAGACGCCACGACGCAGAAATATCAAGGAAGATAGTCTTTGTGAAATGTTCATCTTTTATCCGCGTTTTTTGTAGCATTACAGCCAAAAACATTGGGGGGCAACAACATTGGGCGGGGGGGGGGGCAACTCAGCGTTGGGGGTGGGGTGGGGGGAGGGGGGCAGGGCCCTCACAAAAGAATGCAAATCGACACCCATGAACCACGCCACCTTTCGTTGTCAAATACGAAGACAAATACACAGATACTTCGCAAACATTTGAGAAATCGAGCATGGTTTTATAATGACACCCCATGTAACAGCCTTAGCCTTTTCTATATAAAAGCGAACGCAGCGCACTTCGTCACGCCCCTTTCATGGAGCACCAACGACCACATTCGCCATATCAGTGTTCTGTGGAATCGATGCAGGTTAATGGTGTAAATAAAGTGGCAGCAGTAAAAATTAGCCAGGCAGATGCTTACAAACATATTTCAAGCCCAGTTTTAACGCAATGACGTCGCTATCACAAGCTCGAGCGAATTCATGTGACCGCTTGAGGAGGACTGAAATTTTAAGTCATCTATAGTTTCGCCGGTACAAAGCCAAATTTGTTGCAAAATACACCAGTACGCCACAAGCATGCTATCAAAGTTTTGACGCCGTTGACTCAAATTTGGTCGTGAATTTCAGTTTATTTTGGAAATTTTGATTCTGAGTTCATGTGGGCCTGTAGGTATTATGAAGGTATGTGTAGGTTGCAGTTGGATCCCCCACAGTTGTACTGGGGGTATACCATTGTTCTAGAATTGCTAGCTTTGAGTGTGGAACAAAGACCTATGATGAATAATGTTTCACTCCCTTCTCGCATTTGTTGTGAATTTTTTCACTCCCGCATGGAATTGTCCAACCACACATGCCAAACCAATATTTTCCTTTCAGCTGCTCGTATGACGTCATCCAAGTCAGAGCTGACTCAAAGCCGCCAGGCATGCACAGGACTCCCCAGAACCTGGACACTTTTGAATACATCCTGCCTCACCTATGTCTGAATCATGTGCGAGTCATTATCTTTGAGCCGACAATTCATCGTCCAAATTTGAACTTCTGTAAACTACATGTCTTTGGCTCCAAGCTAGATCTGAACATTAAAAGCGAACCATAGTGACATGCTCTGTGATATTTGTTGATGACAAATGTGACCAGTTTAGACGTGCCTAGCTAGGCAAAAGATTCAGAGCTGGCTCATGCTACGCCGCAGTACGCACACAGCCCATCAACAATTCAGTACCATGATGGCAGGATAGCCATGACAGTACAAAAAAGAACACTATCTTACCTAAATATATGTCAAGCAAAAGTGCATAACAAGCTACATACCAACTGCGTGCCACACGGCCTGGACCTGCACGTCTGCCTGTGTGTGCACAGAGCAAGGCACTCGGTGCTTTCAAGACCGAGAGCACCAGAGACTCCAGCCGCTCACATTCATCAAGTTTGGTTTGTTTGCAAAATGCATCACGTACAATTTACGGCCGTTTGCTACATGTTACGTTTTCTTGCATATCCAAAGCTTTTTTTGTTGGTCGCACGACGCAAACACCACGCAAAGCCTGATACGGAATTTTGCTCCGCGTCAATGAGCTTTGTTTTATGAATATCACCATTCCCGAAATGTAGTAGTAATTTTTAAAAAAATCTTTGTCGTTGAACTTTAAAAGCCAGACAACACCGTTTGGACCCTTTTTTCACATATTTTTTAGTCAAATTTGGTAAGATATCTTGACAGAATAGCTCTAAGCCTTTGTATTTATTTGTCTACTTTTGATTTTCTTGGTCTCGCACGAAAGTAAAACATAGACATGTTGTCATAATTTTTGTGTAATCTTTAATTATAGCATCTACTGCCCAAAATATTAACCAATTTTATGCAAAATGTACCGACCGCAAACTTGTAAACAGATCATAGATATACTAATTAATTCGCCAGCCGCCCGAATACGCTTGATAAACACTCATAGCTCAACAATTCGTGCCAACTAAACCAGGCAAGGTGAAACCAAGAAATCATTTTACCGACAATTTGACCTTATTTAGCCTTCATTTGTTGCTTTTGGCTGATAGCGTGGTTCAATAATGCTTAATCTACGCCATTCCAATTTTGACACCTCAGCAACTTAAAGTGTCCTGCCGTACATAGCTTTGGGAGAGAAGTAGCGCAGCTGGTACAGACATGCCCTTCAAAAAAAACTGTTTGGCATATCTTTAGCGTGGAGTTTCTCTTAATTACTTCACGCCATCATCTTGAAGGTTGGTGGGTTGTTTGATAATATTTTGTGAGCGGGCTGGATGACCTTGTCTGCCAGCACACCTTGCAAGAGGTGCATACTTTTTGTTTGGGGAAGCACGAGGAAGCCTCCCCTAAAAAATGCGGTATGTTTTCCCTTGGGAAACCTAATTGCTAACGCTACCTACTTGCAAAACATGATATAAACCATATTTGGCCATTTCCTGCTATCTATCCTACCAACTTTGTTTAATTCAGACAAATTATGTCCCCTAGATATTCAAGTAAAAGCGTCTTGTCCTATATTCTTAATCCTTTGCCAGAAATTTATTTAAGTGATCATTCATGTCTGCTCAAACAAGATTTAGCCCATAGTTGCCATGGCTTGCTGACTAGGAAATAACTGCACTGTGGATATGCACAGTCTATATCAACATTTATGAAATGTCTGTCCGTCCGGCACGCCTAAATGCTCTCGTAGCGCTGACGCAATCAGAGGTTTTTGCGTGAAATATGGCGTGCGGCAAGGCCATGTGGGTCACGTTGTCGTATCAAATTTTGGACGCAGTCTGACCGGTATGGCGCCGTCGGTGTATGTGTGCACGTGCGCCACGGGTAAACACGTGAAACGTGACATTCTCAAGTTTCTCAAAATCGCCGAAACGCTCGACAAAACCCAGCTCGCCGCTCGGCAACGGGTGTCGCAGCAAAACGGGACCAGCACATTGAAACGCGGAAGAAACGGACAATCGTGCAGGCAAAAGCGCGAATCAACGCGCGCTGATGTGCGAGTGCGCTCGTGCGCAAACCACAGACGCGACGGTTTTCGGACGTTTTCAAAATTTTTGTCAGATCTCGGCAGTCCGAGCAAATAGTGACGGGAAAGCGACCGCACCGCGCAGGCACGCGTACGTCCACAAATCACCCAGTCAG